TATATATATATACAGATCTTGTGAGTTTGGTAAAAATGTACGTAATAATATATATATATATATATATATATATATATATATATATATATATATATATATATATATATATATATATATATATATATATATATGTCGTACCTAGTAGCCAGAACTCACTTCTCAGCCTACTATGCAAGGCCCGATTTGCCTAATAAGCCTAGTTTTCAAGAATTAATGTTTTTTCGCCAACCTAACCTACCTAACCTAACCTAACCTAACGTTTTCGGCTACCTAACCTAACCTAACCTATAAAGATTGGTTAGGTTAGGTTAGGTAGGTTGGTTAGGTTCGGTCATATATCTACGTTAATTTGAACTCCAATAAAAAAAATTGACCTCATACATAATGAAATGGGTAGCTTTATCATTTCATAAGAAAAAAATTAGAGAAAATATATTAATTTAGTAAAACTTGTCTTATTAGGCAAATCGGGCCTTGCATAGTAGGCTGAGAAGTGAGTTCTGGCTACTAGGTACGACATATATATATATATATAAAGATAGATAGATAGATACATACATATATATATATATATATATATATATATATATATATATATATATATATATATATAGAGAGAGAGAGAGAGAGAGAGAGAGAGAGAGAGAGAGAGAGAGAGAGAGAGAGAGAGAGAGAGAGAGAGAGAGAGAGAGAGAGAGAGAGAGAGAGAGATATATATATATATATATTAAACTAAATATATATATATATATATATATATATATATATATATATATATATATATATATATATATATATATATATATATATATATATATATATATATAGAGAGAGAGAGAGAGAGAGAGAGAGAGAGAGAGAGAGAGAGAGAGAGAGAGAGAGAGAGAGAGAGAGAGAGAGAGAGAGAGCGAGCAAGCGAACATGCTTGAATGGTCTCCAAGCCAATATGCAACTGAAAACTCCTCACCCCTGAAGGATTCGAACCTAGACAGCCAGGTGCATACGCTGCATGCACCTTAGCGTATCCAGAACAATCAGACTTGGTCTAGCGGGTTAAGTGCTGGAGCCCTGCCTGTCTGGGTTCGAATCCTTCAGGGGTGAGAGGAGTCTTCGATGACCTTCAGAGAGCTTGAGATAGACAACTCGGCCCTCGCATGAGGAGTGAGACATCGTTTCGACCCGTCCTAAACTTTCACTTAATATGTGTTGGGTTATCTGTTTCGGCCACGATATTGGGACAGGTCCACAGCTTTAGCTGTACATATGCTGATATACCTAAGTATATGCTATATATATATATATATATATATATATATATATATATATATATATATATATATATATATATATATATGTATATATATATATATATACATATATATATATATATATATATATATATATATATATATATATATATATATATATTGATATAAATATATATCAAACAAGATTCCGTCAGCATTGTGAGGTCGGATTTCCTTCGCCTTTCACTAAGCTTAGTTGTTTTCAGTCCATGAACGTGTTCTAAGGGAAATTCAACTTTTTTTTTAATTTGTGCTTTTTGAGCCATGAGCTGCATTCTCGAGGGCGGGTCTTACGTATGTTGCGGCTAGGGTTCTGAAGATTCCCTTGTCAATGTCCCAGAAGGTTACTCAGACCATGCACCATGCTGTATACATATGAACGTGTATGTGTGTGTGTGTGTGTGTGTGTGTGTGCGTGCGTGCGTGCGTGCGTGCGTGCGTGCGTGTGTGTGTGTGTGTGTGTGTGTGTGTGTGTGTATTACACATATTAGGGACAAAAAGGCCTTTTTTAACTTTAAAACAAATCCTTCGTTTTTACAATCTTTAAAAGTACCCAAACTCCCATCTCGCCTCCAATAAGCAATTGTAGACTAAGTAACCACCGCCCACTACACAGCACACCACTCTCTAACGGTCCACCTACAAGAAGAGAACCAGTTTTTGGCAAATCAAATTAAACATAAAAAAAATTGAGTGCTTGCCTCTAGCAATTTGAAAGTGGAATCCAATCCACCAAGAAAGAAATCCGTAATATAATTCACTTCTAATCATGTGAATAGTCATTTTCAACCTTCAAATGGGATTGGAATATATCATATAAGTTTGTTTTAGAGGTCAAAAGGAGTTAGGAGTCACAGAGAGGAAGGAAGAGGCACTCAAGAGGAGTTGAAAGTAGTGAGAGTGAAGGGTTGGGGAAGACTGACTATCTCCTGGAGAGCCCAGCTTGGTGGAGGCCAGAGGTCTCTCTTCACCTCAGTCGCTCAGGTACCTCCCTGCTGTCAACACTGCCCGCTTGTACCAGGTGTGTGTTGTTATACCAGGTGTGTGTTGTTATACCAGGTGTGTGTTGTTATACCAGGTGTGTTGATATACTAGGTGTGTTGATATACCAGGTGTGTGGCTATACTAGGTGTGTTGCTATACCAGGTGTGTTGATATACTAGGTGTGTTGATATACCAGGTGTGTTGCTATACCAGAGGTGTGGCTATACTAGGTGTGTTGCTATACCAGGTGTGTTGATATACTAGGTGTGTGGTGTTATACCAGGTGTGTTGCTATACCAGGTGTGTTGCTATACCAGGTGTGTTGATATACTAGGTGTGTGGTGTTATACCAGGTGTGTTGATATACTAGGTGTGTGGTGTTATACCAGGTGTGTTGCTATACCAGGTGTGTTGCTATACCAGGTGTGTTGCTATACCAGGTGTGTTGCTATACCAGGTGTGTTGCTATACCAGGAGTTGCTATACCAGGTGTGTTGCTATACCAGGTGTGTTGCTAAACCAGGTGTTTCTATACCAGGAGTTGCTATACCAGGTGTTGCTATACCAGGTGTTGCTATACCAGGTGTGTTGCTATACCAGGTGTTTCTATACCAGGAGTTGCTATACCAGGTGTTGCTATACCAGGTGTTGCTATACCAGGAGTTGCTATACCAGGTGTTGCTATACCAGGTGTTGCTATACCAGGTGTGTTGCTATACCAGGTGTGTGGCTATACCAGGTGTGTGGCTATACCAGGTGTGTTGCTATACCAGGTGTGTTGCTATACCAGAGGTGTGGCTATACTAGGTGTGTGGCTATACCAGGTGTGTTGCTATACCAGGTGTGTTGCTATACCAGGTGTGTTGCTATACCAGGTGTGTGGCTATACCAGAGGTGTGGCTATACTAGGTGTGTGGCTATACTAGGTGTGTTGCTATACCAGAGGTGTGGCTATACCAGGTGTGTGGCTATACCAGGTGTGTTGCTATACCAGGTGTGTTGCTATACCAGAGGTGTGGCTATACTAGGTGTGTTGCTATACCAGGTGTGTTGCTATACCAGGAGTTGCTATACCAGGTGTGTTGCTATACCAGGTGTGTTGCTAAACCAGGTGTTTCTATACCAGGAGTTGCTATACCAGGTGTGTTGCTATACCAGGTGTTTCTATACCAGGAGTTGCTATACCAGGTGTTGCTATACCAGGTGTTTCTATACCAGGAGTTGCTATACCAGGTGTTGCTATACCAGGTGTTGCTATACCAGGTGTGTTGCTATACCAGGTGTTGCTATACCAGGTGTGTGGCTATACCAGGTGTGTTGCTATACCAGGTGTGTGGCTATACCAGGTGTGTGGCTATACACCCTACACAACACCCACAAAAGCCCTAATAATGTACAGGTTGGGAGAGTATAAGGAGCTGCGAATGTTTACAACTGAAGCACCTTGAAGCCTGTGACAGCAAGAGTGAAGCACTACTAGCAGTATTAACTAGTACTAGCAGTACTGCTCTACTACTAGCACCTACTAGCAGTACTGCTCTACTACTAGCACCTACTAGCAGTACTCTACTACTAGCACCTACTAGCAGTACTGCTCTACTACTAGCACCTACAAGCAGTACTGCTCTACTACTAGCACCTACTAGCAGTACTCTACTACTAGCAGTACTGCTCTACTACTAGCACCTACTAGCACCTACTAGCAGTACTGCTCTACTACTAGCACCTACTAGCAGTACTCTACTACTAGCACCTACTAGCAGTACTCTACTACTAGCACCTACTAGCAGTACTCTACTACTAGCACCTACTAGCAGTACTCTACTACTAGCACCTACTAGCAGCACTACTCTACTACTAGCACCAAGGTACTAACTTGAGAGTAGACAAGAACTTAGTTTACCGCGTCCCTCGTAATCGGCTACGATGAACTTTACGAGGTCTCAATCACACTATGTGTGTAAGACCTCGTAAACTTAAGTGAATTGGAGGACAAGTGTAAACCTGGAATGCCGTCCCTTGCTGGTTGGTCTACGACCTCGACTCGTAAGTCAAGATCCCGGGTTCGATCCCCGGCCGGGACAGCATTAGGACGAGTTTCCTTTCACTTAATGCCTCTCTCTCTCTTCATCTAGCAGTAAAATAGGTACCCAGGAACTAGACAACTGTTGTGGGTTGCATTCTGTCAACGAGAACGGCATTATTCACAATTCCCGCAAGGTGGAGTTGTGAATAATTGTGCAGTATTCACAATCCGTGTGGCATTGCCGGAAGCATTCACTTTCACGCAGAGTGACTCGTTGCGTAAGATTGAGAAAGTTCTGGCCGTTGGTTCGAGGTAGAGAAGAGGAGAGGAGCCACCAGTCGGCACCACTACTCTGTAGAATCGCTCTCACTCTCAAACACACTCTCTCACATGCACTCATTCACTCTCTCGCACGCACACTCAGTTTCAAGCGTAGATATGATAGAGCCCAGTAGGCTCAGGAACCTGTACACCAGTTGATTGACGGTTGAGAGGCGGGACCAAAGAGCCAGAGCTCAACCCCCGCAACTAGGTAAGTACGCACACACACTGAATTGACTCACGTTTTAACAGTGTGCAACGAGCAATTAAATAATCACATTAAAACGCGCAATGCTGCACATTGATATATGCAACGGACTCGAACTCACTTCGCCGCTTTAACATTGTTGCAGATTGCAAGGATGAAGCTGCTGTTCCTACTGGTCGCCACGGGGGTCCTGGCCCACCCAGCGCCTCAACACAAGTGTGAGTACACCTGGCTTGCCCCACACACACCTGCCTGTGGCAGGTATAACTCGCTATACCTCTATAAGGCTGACATTGGTAGGTGTGTGACGGGGTTATTCATGCCCGTGCCACTTCTTGTGGTGGCGGAATCGTTAACAGTCATGCGTAGTCCACCAGGCCTTGCTCATGCACGGACTATGCTTGCTCATGCCCGCATGCGGCCTACCTGACCATGCCCGCATGCGGCCTACCTGATCATGCCCGCATGCGGCCTACCTGACCATGCCCGCATGCGGCCTACCTGACCATGCCCGCATGCGGCCTACCTGATCATGCCCGCATGCGGCCTACCTGACCATGCCCGCATGCGGCCTACCTGACCATGTCCGCATGCGGCCTACCTGACCATGCCCGCATGCGGCCTATCTGACCATGCTCGCATGCGGCCTACCTGACCATGCCCGCATGCGGCCTACCTGACCATGTCCGCATGCGGCCTACCTGACCATGCCCGCATGCGGCCTATCTGACCATGCCCGCATGCGGCCTACCTGACCATGTCCGCATGCGGCCTACCTGACCATGCCCACATGCGGCCTATCTGACCATGCCCGCATGCGGCCTATCTGACCATGTCCGCATGCGGCCTACCTGACCATGCCCGCATGCGGCCTACCTGACCATGTCCGCATGCGGCCTATCTGACCATGCCCGCATGCGGCCTACCTGATCATGCCCGCATGCGGCCTATCTGACCATGCCCGCATGCGGCCTACCTGACCATGTCCGCATGCGGCCTACCTGACCATGCCCGCATGCGGCCTACCTGACCATGTCCGCATGCGGCCTACCTGACCAAAATCATTAATTAAAATTGACGTATCTCTATGACCTATAATAATTATATAAGTTATTTACAAAATAAAGAACACATGTGCTATATCTAATTATATTTATGCCTACTTAATTATACCTGTACCATTTTATATCTACTTTATCTACTTATATCTGATTCTACCAACTTTTATCTACTTATATAACATTGATTCTTTTGATTTTCAATTTCGTGTTCACTCACTAATCTCAGTGCCTTGATGTGATTCGCTAATCTCAGTGCCTTGATGAGATTCGCTAATCTCAGTGCCTTGATGAGATTCACTAATCTCAGTGCCTTGACGTGATTCACTAATCTCAGTGCCTTGATGTGATTCACTAATCTCAATGCCTTGATGTGATTCACTAATCTCAGTGCCTTGATGTGATTCGCTAATCTCAGTGCCTTGATGAGATTCACTAACCCTAGTGTCTTGATGTTATTCACTAATCTCAGTGCCTTGATGTGATTCACTAACCCGTGCCTTGATGAGATTCACTAATCTCAGTGCCTTGATGTGATTCACTAATCTCAGTGCCTTGATGTGATTCACTAATCTCAGTGCCTTGATGTGATTCACTAATCTCAGTGCCTTGATGAGATTCACTAACCACAATACCTCCACATGATTCACTAACCACAGTACCTCCGCATGATTCACTAACCACAGTGCCTCTCTTGTGTTTCACAGTGTCAGGCAAGGCATATGTGGGATTAAGCCAGGCACTTGGCGGGCGCATCCCCGTGGGTATCTACAGTGCAAAGCGGATCTTCCACGGCTACGAGAACCACGACAACGACGTAGTGTACCTCAACCTCCCGGGGCTCTCTAGCGCCGTCGGTGGCGGCTTCGCGGGCGACGCCGGAGCCCTAGGAGGCGGTGGCCTAAAAGGTGGTGCCCTGGGAGGTGGTGCCCTAGGAGGTGGTGCCCTAGGAGGTGGTGCCCTAGGAGGCGCTGTAGGGAAGAAAGGAGAAGCCCTTGGCTCTTTAGTCGGTGGTGGCTTATCTCACGCCGCCGGCGCAATTGGAGCCGCCGTCGGGAGCGGCGCTGTTGCTGGCGGCGATGCTCTTGGAGCCCCCATCGGGAAAGGACTCGCCCACGGTGCTAATGGTCTTGGCGGCGGTGCATTCGACGCTGGGGATGCCCTGGGCGCAGCGGTCGGGAGCGGGGTATCTCACGGCGTCGGCGCCCTGGCTGCGTCATTCGGCGGCAGTGAGTAGCAAAGTTCTATTGCTTGGGATGCTGTGCGTGTATTCCTTTTGCTTACTTGTGAAACATGGTTTAATATCCGAGGTAAGTAGGTGTTCTATATGTGATCGCTATTCTTTAAGTACACCTCACCTCACCTAACCTAATCTAACCAAAACTAACCTAACCCAAACTAGCCTTACTTAACCTAACCTCACCTAATTTTACCTAACCTAGCTTTACGTAACCTAACCTAACCCAGACTAACCTTACTTAACCTAACCTTACGTAACCTAAATTAACCTTACTTAACCTAACATAACGTAACTTAACCTATCCCAACCTAACCTAACAAATATAACACTGTAGTGTCGCATATGGAAGACGACGCTGTGGTGGCATAATGTTCCGCCCCTAATACTATACTTACATACATATATGTACTTACATATATGTATTTATATACATATATGCGAAGCAATATCTGGCGATAAGTCACTTCTTCGCCCTTGCCGTGTACAACACAACCCAGGAATAACAACAAACCAATTAACGCGTTGAAACACAAATGAACACTAAACCCACAAAAGTCAAAGCCTTTTGGTAGCTACTTGTTTTTCTAGTTTATAATGATATTTAACAATTTAACGATAGGTTTTGCCCAAAGTAAATGTTTAATGTTATCTGCCGAAACTCGAGCTTTGACAAATTATATTTCCAATTATTATTATTATTATAATTTCGGCTATTTAACCTTTTATATAAACATTTCCACTCACCTTCTGACACCATCAGTTCTCGTATGGATCATGTCTTAGAGCCGTACTAAACACGTAATTAAATAATTTATTTGACACTCCTGCCTTTAAAGGGTTACATATCTTCCCAGCTGATGTTGTTATATGATGCATGAGCAGCCTCTGACATGCCCTCATCACCACCAGCATCTATCAATCAATCATCCACCATGTCATCAATCACTGAGTGGGGGATGGGAGGGGGGGGGACAGTTGTATGACGTCCCACGGTGCAAGACTCATTACTATATTATACTGTATATTTTATTTATGCCGTATTCTACATGTATTAAATATATAAATTATTTAAAAATGTAAATAGTACCCACACGTAGATCTCAAAATTCTTGTACAATTTCCATCCATGCTGTAGATAATATCTCAATATACTATAAGATATATATATATATATATATATATATATATATATATATATATATATATATATATATATATATATATATATATATATATATATATATAGTTGTACAGGACGCCTAGTTGATTAAGGCGTCCTGTACATACCAGTTGCGTTGCTCCTGGCAGTATGGGTTCGAGTCACTTCTGGGGTGTGAGTTTTCAGTTGCATATAGTCCTGGGGACCAGTATATATATCCCAGTATATTATGAACTAAAAGGGTTTGAAACACTGTGCTACTGGAGCTAGCATGCTAGGTGGGGCATGAGACATCTGAAAAGACGGCATCCTGCCCTTATGTCCGCTACAAATCTTCATGAAATACGTGAAAGTGGCCGACGTGTCCGTCCTCACCGTCTAATCTCTCGTCGTTTCTTCCACGAAGCTGGAGCCCTGGCCGAGCAGCTAGGCGAAGGAGCAGGAGCAGCCCTCGGGAGCCTCTCCCAAACCCTCTTCCGGAGCAAGCGGCAGGACTCGGAGCAAAGTAACGCCAACCAAATCTCCTTCGCTCTCTCAGGCCTAGGAACCCTCTTCGGTAAGCTCAGGACGTAATGTCACTTCTCAAAAAGCTACGCTCCTTTACCCAATCGCATGATCAGGCACACTAATTTACACACTTCGTAACAACTATATATAATTTTTTTAACGTTAATGTAACGTTAAAACACCTACACAAAAACGTTTTAATAAGGTTATGTGTGTGGCGGATGAGGCGAGTGAGTGGGTTTTGCCCAAAGTAAATTGCCACCACAGCCACCTTTCACCTGTGGTGGCTGGCCATCTTAGGTGTAAAATATCTCTGGGGGAATGCAGTTAGCGAATGAGCAATTGATATGCAACATTAGTTAGCACCTTATGAGCCCATTGCTGTATTGAGTGAGCAATTTATGAACTTACTACATTAAGTGAGCTGAAATTTATGAGCCCACAGCATTTAGTGAGACACCCAACACAACATTAGAGTACGTCATGTAGTGAGCTCAACTAACACGTCTAATTTATTATAGAACTTTTTGACACTGACGCAATAGAGCTCCGTGATACTGACGCAATAGAGCTCCGTGATACTGATGCAATAGAGCTCGCTGACACTGACGCAATAGAGCTCGCTGACACTGACGCAATAGAGCTCGCTGACACTGGCGCAATAGAGCTCGCTGACACTGACGCAATAGAGCTCGCTGACACTGACGCAATAGAGCTCGCTGACACTGGCGCAATAGAGCTCGCTGACACTGACGCAATAGAGCTCGCTGACACTGACGCAATAGAGCTCGCTGACACTGACGCAATAGAGCTCGCTGACACTGGCGCAATAGAGCTCGCTGACACTGACGCAATAGAGCTCGCTGACACTGACGCAATAGAGCTCGCTGACACTGACGCAATAGAGCTCGCTGACACTGACGCAATAGAGCTCGCTGACACTGGCGCAATAGAGCTCGCTGACACTGACGCAATAGAGCTCGCTGACACTGACGCAATAGAGCTCGCTGACACTGACGCAATAGAGCTCGCTGACACTGACGCAATAGAGCTCGCTGACACTGACGCAATAGAGCTCGCTGACACTGACGCAATAGAGCTCGCTGACACTGGCGCAATAGAGCTCGCTGACACTGACGCAATAGAGCTCGCTGACACTGACGCAATAGAGCTCGCTGACACTGACGCAATAGAGCTCGCTGACACTGACGCAATAGAGCTCGCTGACACTGACGCAATAGAGCTCGCTGACACTGACGCAATAGAGCTCGCTGACACTGACGCAATAGAGATCGCTGACACTGACGCAATAGAGCTCGCTGACACTGACGCAATAGAGCTCGCTGACACTGACGCAATAGAGATCGCTGACACTGACGCAATAGAGCTCGCTGACACTGACGCAATAGAGCTCGCTGACACTGACGCAATAGAGCTCGCTGACACTGACGCAATAGAGCTCGCTGACACTGACGCAATAGAGCTCGCTGACACTGACGCAATAGAGCTCGCTGACACTGACGCAATAGAGCTCGCTGACACTGACGCAATAGAGCTCGCTGACACTGACGCAATAGAGCTCGCTGACACTGACGCAATAGAGATCGCTGACACTGACGCAATAGAGCTCGCTGACACTGAAGGCGTAACGTGACAACATTACAACAATATTTACTAGAGAAAAAAATCATAAATCATAAAAATCATAAAAATCATATTGTCAACGAATCAAAATACCAAATAAAATATTCACCAAAATAATCAGTGCAAAGACTACATTTAGCGGACTTATTCCACAAAGTCTGACTGGACTTGATACTGAGATTGATGTGAACTTAAGACCAATTTTAATCCACTACGCCACTTAACTGACGTCACAAGTGTCTGACCTCTGTGACCTTTGGTTGTATAGGGCGCACTGAGGTGACATTAATAGGGAAAATATTGAGGTGATTTGGGGAAAAGTGTGACCTCCTCCCCCCCCCCGAGCACTAAGGGAGGTCACGCTGGGTCAGGGGTCACTAACAGTCACTCTAGGTCAAGAGGGGTCACTCTGAATCAGGGGGGGGGGGGGGGGGTCAACTCTGTATGTGCATCAGAACGAATAAACGGACCTTTACACATGACCAGCTGACCTTACTCTCTGCACTCTGTGACCTGATGCGCTTGGCATGCGCCAGTACTCTAACAACGCACTCAGCATGCGCAACTCCCAGCAACGCACCCACATTGCAGAACTGCTCTCCCACAACGCACAGCATGCACAACCACTTTCTAGCAATGCACTCTGCATGCGCAACTATATTCTAACAACGCACCCAACAACCACAATTATCCACAATTAACGCACCCAACAACCACAATTAACGCACCCAACAACCACAATTAACGCACCCAACAACCACAACTATCCACAACGCCACGGTATGCCATAGCAACTATCCAACGTAGCAACTATAACAACTATCCACAATTAACGCACTCAGCATGCACAAGTAATCTCTCTCCCCCCCCCCCCCACGCACCCGCCCCTCTCACAGCATAACCCCCCCCCCCACACCTCACGATAACATGATATAACATTGATGTTTTGAGTATGTTATTAATCACGTCATCTGAGTATGTTAGGAAGTTCTGTTGGATAATCAACAATTATTGCATGATAATAAATGTCTTCTACTCTTCCTTGCTTTTGTAAGCCTATATAGAGTAGGCCTATATCATTTTTTTGTATCTCTTTGCATGCTGCAATGTTGACTTTGGTCAGGATGCATCGATCATTTATGTGTCTATTGACGAAACCTTTATATCTTTTGTCAGTCATGGCGATTTAGTTTGTGTTTATTAGACAATTATGAACTCTGAATCGCTAAGAGGTTCCCCCTATATGACCTTGGATCGTGAATGACTTCGTAGCATTTCCGACCTCGTAAACTGTTCAGGAAGCTGCCATGAGCCTGCAAAGATCTACAGGTTTCGTTAGTTGACACGCAAATGGCTGGTGAATCTCGGCCGTTGGTTGTTAGAATTCCTGTGTAATGACGACGATGCTAATGAGCGCAACATTTGGCCCAGTGGGACGGGAATAACGCCAAGGAAGTCGCCCACTGGAACGCGCTGGTCCGAGGCTCCTGCCAGCATAGCTTCCTTCAGCATGGCGCTCTCTCCCACGGTGCTCAAGAGAGCATCGAGAGCCCTCAGCCTCTGCCTGGCTACGACTGACACGACCCCCTGACGGCGCTCTTACGAGGACGACCTCCTTACATAGACCGGACAGCGCTCCTACAGGACGACAAGGACTTGAACATGCTAAGTAGTTTCCTTCAGTGCAACAAAACAATGTTTTGTTCCCATGTTCACGACCTTGCGTCGTACCCCACAACGACCCAATACATATATATATATATATATATATATATATATATATATATATATATATATATATATATATATATATATATATATATATATATATATATATACCTTCACCAGTAAATAACTCTGTACTTTACAATGACGACAACAATTAATTTTGTTCAGGAGCATGATAGATAGAATTGGGGGGAATGTTTCTTGTTTTTTTTTCCCCTATATATACATGCCAAAATATATATACATTTGACGAGCATTCTTGCCTCCTGACCTCGGCTGACGTGATTCCGGTAGGCGGCAACCTGGGTCGGTGGTTGGACTCCACCTTCGACGCCAACGTCAAATTCATTAACGGAATGGAAAACGTCGGCACAATCGTCTTGGACCAGGTCGACGACATCTTAGTGCGGGTCGGGGACCGGAACAGAACCAAGGCAGACGGCATCTCTCTCTTTTAAACACCCACACACAAAAAATCTACAAAAAAATCATCTGTAACGACAAGTATAACGACTTGATTGTAACGACGCGCTGGTACGACATATCATGGCGCAGACGGGTGCCCAGTCAATCACCCACTCAACATTCCAGCAGCAACATAACGCATCTGTTATCATCTTAATATATTAACACTCATCAACATATAAATCACCGTCTCTCTCTCTCTCTCTCTCTCTCTCTCTCTATATATATATATATATATATATATATATATATATATATATATATATATATATATATATATATATATATATATATATATATATATATATATATATATATATTCTTTGTCATACTCACTGTCTCTTGCGAGCCTGTTTACGGCTGTCTCCAATCTGTCTATCCTCATATTCCCATCTATTACGCCCCCGTCAACTGTCTATACTCTCCAGGTCTTTTCAACTCTTAAGTCCTTCTGTTATCTTAAGTATAAATATATTTATCATGATCGCCTGCAATCATGATTCCTTCTATCTCCGGCAACTTTGATTCTCTCTATTACGTTCCCATCAACCAAGATTACCTTATAACATTCCCTTCAATTACGGTTCCTTGCACCCGGTTCGTGGCTTCCATCTACCGGGAGTTGATTTACAACCAGTTTTTCCCAAACCCAAATCGATCACCTCTTCTACCCTGACCTTTATCAAGTTATCTTTATCCCTGACCTTTATCCAGCAACGATCTATTCAATCCTGGTTCCTTATACAACGATTTATTCAATCCTGGTTCCTTATATAACGATTTATTCAATCCTGGTTCCTTATATAACGATTTATTCAACCCTGGTTCCTTATATAACGATTTATTCAACCCTGGTTCCTTATACAACGATTTATTCAACCCTGGTTCCTTATATAACGATTTATTCAACCCTGGTTCCTTATATAACGATTTATTCAACCCTGGTTCCTTATATAACGATTTATTCAACCCTGGTTCCTTATATAACGATTTATTCAACCCTGGTTCCTTATACAACGATTTATTCAACTCTGGTTCCTTATATAACGATTTATTCAACCCTGGTTCCTTATATAACGATTTATTCAACCCTGGTTCCTTATATAACGATTTATTCAACCCTGGTTCCTTATACAATGATTTATTCAATCCTGGTTCCTTATACAACGATTTATTCAACCCTGGTTCCTTATATAACGATTTATTCAACCCTGGTTCCTTATATAACGATTTATTCAACCCTGGTTCCTTATATAACGATTTATTCAACCCTGGTTCCTTATACAACGATTTATTCAACCCTGGTTCCTTATATAACGATTTATTCAACCCTGGTTCCTTATACAACGATTTATTCAACCCTGGTTCCTTATATAACGATTTATTCAACCCTGGTTCCTTATATAACGATTTATTCAACCCTGGTTCCTTATACAACGATTTATTCAACTCTGGTTCACTTGTGTGATTATAATTATAAATAAATTGTATTTATGCAGCTCTGGTCTTATAAGGAACGCTCTGACCATTTTTAAATTTAAGGTCTTCAACCCTTACTCCTTAGAAAACCAGCCCTTCAACTCTGTCTTATAAGGAACCCCCTTAATAATATCTCCTTTTACAACGAACTCTTTTTATTTATGGACCCCCCATATAGCGAGCTCTTTTTAATTCCTTGCCCCATATAACGAGCTCTTTTCAATTCCTTGCCCCATATAATGAACTCTTTTTAATTCCTTGCCCCATATAACGAGCTCTTTTTAATTCCTTGCCCCATATAATGAACTCTTTTTAATTCCTTGCCCCATATAATGAACTCTTTTTAATTCCTTGCCCCATATAATGAACTCTTTTTAATTCCTTGCCCCATATAACGAACTCTTTTTTTATTCCTTGCCCCCATATAACGAACTCTTTTTTTATTCCTTGCCCCATATAACGAACTCTTTTTTTATTCCTTGCCCCCATATAACGAACTCTTTTTACTCCTGGCTCCCGTATAGCGAACAGGCAATCCTGACGGCCTTAATAGCGAGGTCTTCTTCCCTGGTCGTTAAAAATGAGTCCTTGGCCCACTATCCCTTTTCAACTAATGCATTATCCTACGACTCTTTCCTAAATCAAAAGCCAGTTTAATATTTATTCTGAAACCCAGTTATGGAGGTCCGATGATCATTGAGGATGAGGTTAGGTCCTATAATCTTTTTTCACTGTGACTAACTACCTTTGTGCCTTTCATTCCAAGCACTGGGATTCGTCGGAACGTAGGCCTAGATTCTTTCTGGTCGGCGTTCGAATCTCGATGAGTGGTTGAGTGCTGTTCTTCACTTCATTATAATGTCCACCTCCACCTAGTCTCCACCTCCTTTCCTTGTGATAAATAGTCATTTTCTCATAATCACCTCATTTTCCCTGTGCCCTCCCTCCACGATCCTCTCTCCCTCTCCCTCTCCCTCTCTCCCTCTCTCTCCCTCTCTCTCAGGAAGACTATCCACTGGTCAGCATCACCTGTGAGCCTATCTGCTAGTCACACATCAGAATAGTTTGGCATGAAGGTACAGAACCTCTCACCCGCCTCGGCCAGAAGCCACAGAAGAAAATGCATATATGCTAGTTAGCACTCTAAATATGTGGCCACGTCTGTGGTAGAAAAAATAGTAAACAAAAAAAGTATCGTACGCCAACTTAATAACAATTGACGTGAGAATTGTTGTACCTTCATGCACAAACACCACTACGGCTCTCATACGTTGTTTCAACTAATAGTACTAATCAAATGTTCACGTTCAGTTCCCTCCAGTTTCTGGACCAGGACGTGGCTTAAGGATTAACTTAGAATTTCAACTTAGAATTTTTGTTAGAATTTTTTTAGAATCTTCCCCCATGGTTCGAGATCTTGATAACTGCCTAATTGACTTGACCCTTAAACGACGTTCTGGGACAGGATTCCTCAAGGACTTCAATTCCCCCCCCCCTTACGAAACATTTACATCTTTCCTCAATCACGTCGGCTTGGTTAGCAATTTTCATGAGCTATAATAATTGATAACTCTATAAATTAGAGTTCTAAAGCTCTAAACATTGTGTAGTTCTGAAACTTGTAAGTTACATCATACAAACCAACCCACCATGGTCGAGAATAGATGTAAAGGTTTCGTCAGTGGACACGAAAATTCCTTGATAATTCCTAGCCGTTGTCCATCAGTTATTGGTCCTTGTTGTTCAACTTTGTGCCATCTAGAGAACTCTTGTACGCTGAACAATGTAGTTAAATATATATTTTTAGAAGAACTTGTTAAGCTTTTTTCTAGTGTTATAATGTTCGAATTTTGTTAAATTTTGTTTAAATACAAGCTATGATATTTTTTTTGTATGTATGCCCATGTATACTGTATTATAATAATGAATACTTGAAACTTTAATTGTGGTTAATAATTCCTGTGTTTTTTTTATTAGAAATGGACAATGACAAATGTAAATGATATTAGATGAAACGAATACAAGGCCTCCGCCCCAAACACACACACACACTCACACACACACACACACACACACACACACACACACACACACACACACACACACACACACACACACACAAAACAGACGACCTAACTCCAGCTCCCACACCATAACCCCAAGATATCACCACTGGACCAAAACACCATCTTAATAACCTTCAAAAACATAAACAAAAGGCTCACCTCGCGTGTACTGTGCCTTCTACACGAGACTCTTTCCTTAGCCTACTGCGCCGGCGTGAAAACAATGTCATAAACACAAAAGTAAACAAGAAAATATCAATTAACTTGTAAACAGAGGCTTGGCACTTCCCCCTGACAATTCCTTTCCCCCCTTGTAAACAGAGGCTTGGCACTTCCCCCTGACAATTCCTTTCCCCCCTTGTAAACAGAGGCTTGGTACTTCCCCCTGACAATTCCTTTCCCCCCTTGTAAACAGAGGCTTGGTACTTCCCCCTGACAATTCCTTTTCCCCCTTGTAAACAGAGGCTTGGCACTTCCCCCTGACAATTCCTTTCCCCCCTTGTAAACAGAGGCTTGGTACTTCCCCCTGACAATTCCTTTCCCCCCTTGTAAACAGAGGCTTGGCACTTCCCCCTGACAATTCCTTTCCCCCCTTATAAACAGAGGCTTGGCACTTCCCCTGACAATTCCTTTCCCCCCTTGTAAACAGAGGCTGGTTCCTGAGCTAAGGAGGCTGAGAAACGAGGCCATGAATGGATAGTGAGCATGCATGGATAGAGCACAGGGCAGATATGACAACGACATACAAAATTCCAAGGGAAATTGACGATGTAGACAGAGAAACAAATGCTCAAAGTGAAGAACAGTAGAATGAAGGGACATAAATGGAAACGATGAGAAAGAACTGTGTCACAGAGATGTTAAAGGAACCTTCAACAGAGCGACAGCATTAAATAAATGAATAGATTATATAAGTAAATGGCATACTTGTCCATAACAGTTTAACATGATCATAAAAAAAAATGATTGAAAATGAATCATCGACGTATATTAGTGAGGGATAACCCTGCATGCACATGTAGGTGAGTACACACTTCAAGCAGAAGGCATAAAAGCCACCTCGAATCATGTCCAGCCACTTGGGTTGGACGAAGAGCTAAAGCTCAACCCAAAGAGATAAGCTCAACCCCCGCAAGCACAGCTAGGTGAGCACACCAAGAAAAGGGTATATGAAGAAACCTGAGAAAGTTCAGAGAACGTTACAAGACTCAGAACTGAGAGGGTTGAAGTACGAGGAAAGACAGAGAGAGTTGGATATTAACACATTAGATGAGAGACAGGTATGAGAGGCATGATCGAGACATCTAAGATACTAAAGAGTAGTGGCAAAGTATAAGTGATATGTTCAGCAGATTCAGCAGCTGAATTAAAAGTCATGGATGGAATCTAATTTAACTGGAACCACAGATATGTACTCAAACGATTTGTTGTGAGTAAATCAAATGAACTGAAGGAGGGAGAGTTTGGGATAAAATCAAACATTAGTTAAAATGAACTGATAGAAATGTCATTGGGATGGGAAAAGTCGGGGCCCAAGAGTCGAACCTCGGTACATATAGGCGGATACAGAAATAAGATACAGATATTAGAGGGAACTTCTTTGCTGCGAGGCTGAGAGCATCCTGACCTGGGTGATAGAGCAATGGCGCTGTAATTTAGAAACCCGAGT